GGCTGGGCCGCGGAGCCCAGCGGAGGGGCGGACGATGGGGCGGACGGGCTCCGCTGGCCCCGGCCCCCCGAGGAGGGCACAGAGCTCCCGGCAGAGCCGCGGTGCGAAACACCCCCGGCCGGCCCGCAGCCGATCCTCGCGGGCCTGCCCACCCTCCTGGCCTACAGACCCGAGTCCGCACAGGCAAACGTACACCACGAGGTCAGTTGGGGGTGGGCGCACCTCGCTGCTTCGTTCACACGGTTCCATGTGCAAAACACGGAACCAACGCCCTTTGCCGAGCCCGCAAAGGAGCCCCTTCATGACAGGCTTTTCTTCTGCGAGGCTGTTGAAACAGTGCTGGCTGTGCACACCTGGGTAGCAAGAGGCTGTGCAGTCTCTCCCCACTGCTGCATCCTCTGTTGAGAATTTCCCAGCAGAATATTTTGTCTAAATCTGATAGAAAATGTATATAAATAGGTACAAACACAGAATACAAGCAGAGCACAGTTCCCTGTAACCCTTAGCAGAGCAAAGTCACCAAAGAATTAATCCGAGACACGAGGTGGGGAGTGAGGGAATTTTTGTTTCCATACTCAAAACACACCCTGCTGCCAACCTGGTTTGCACCTGGTCAGATGTGACCAGCACTGTATCACCAAGTCTGCTGGTGCTTCCTCAGAAACTCCCACAACTGCAGACATCAAGGATTTTTCTCTGTAACACATTCAAATCCTCAGCCTCAGTGTTCTGTGCTCTCAGCTTCCTTGGGAAGGAGCACAGCTCATAAATATCACAGTCATTCCCTTTCTTTGGGAGCATTTATTGATTTACTTACAACACCTCTGCTTTTCTTTTTGGTGGTTTCCTGAAGCTAATGTTTTGAGTTAAATTGTTCCAAGGTATCCCAGACAGGGATCCGCCATGAGTGCCCTTAGGCGCTTTGTCACATTTGTTGCATTTTGAGCAGAGCCCTCTTTGGCCGTGCTGAGCCGGGGGTCTGGGGGCTGGCACCCCATGTCCTTCCTCCCTGCTCTCCCCACCATCGCTGCAGGCAGAGGAGGATGCTGAGCCAACATGCGAGTACTGTGGCAACCTGCTGAGGCCGTTCCCTTTCTCCGAGGACGTCCCTCTCTCCGAGGACCAGGAAGACGTAAGCTGGTGGGAAGGACGAGCAGGGTTTGCCGTGGAACAGCCGTGCTCACGGCTCCGCTCTCTTGCCTTCTAGAGATTCTGCTGCGAGCGCAGCCGAGAGCTCTATGAGTTCATCAGGAATGAGAGGAAGAGGCTCGAGGATGTCAGCAGCCTTCCCAGAGCTGTCAGCACCCAAGAATCCCTCGGCTCTGAAGCCAACCTGCTGCTGTCAAAGGAGCAAGAGAACTGGAGGTACTGGGAGAACTGGGGATCAGGTCTGTGTAATGAACAGATGCAGCTTGAGGGGAAAAGGACTGTTAAGCTGCAGGGAGAGGGATTAAAGAAGAAAAACCTTTGCTTTAGGCACCAGAAGTTCAGATTCTCTCTGGTCCCTTCTGACTCCTCTATTGCCAGGCTGTTTGGATTAGTTTCCAGAGTCACGCTTAAGAACTGTGCAAGTTCTCAGGCTGTTTACAGGACACCCAAAGCTTGTGCAAGAGTTTAAACCTCCAGGGAAAGTCTAAGTCACAGGGAAAAGGAAAACCAAACCAGTATACCGGGAAACAAACTGTAGGTCTCCTTGAAAATCCTTCGCAGGCTGAGGGTGCAAGTGCTTCCTACTATGTACAAAGCACAAACCAAACCACTGTCCCACTGTCAGATTCGTAGGAAGCTACACAAGAATAGTGAAACTATTCTTTAAGATGAGCTATTTTCTTGATCTTGTGGGCATCTTTCCTTCTCTTTCACGTAAAATCCTGACCCAAACCCCATTACAATATTCGGCTCTCCTGCCAGCAGAGCTGATGTCACTGCAGTGGCAGTCTGTTCTCTGGAATCTGTGTGGGCATAATTCCTTCCTGCTGAGGCATTAGTATTTTGGTGACACTGCTGCCTGTTACTTGAAATTGTGAGCAGAGAGAAAAACAGATTCAGAAATTGTGTTCCTAAAGCAGGGATATCCACTACTTGCAGCTTTCCAAACAAGATACATGAGGCGTCAACAACACTTCTATTTTCCAGGCAGCAGAAGAGACACCTGGCTAGAGAGTTGGCTGAGCAGTCTTTAAAGCCGAGTGCCACTAAAGGTGAGTTGGTATATCCGTATGGATTTTCCATTTGTCTCAACAATGCATGCAGTGGAATTGCTGGTTTCTAACTGGAGGATTTTACACAGCAGCATGTTCGTTCATTGTCAGATATGCAATCTCATTAAATTAGATACAGCTGTATTAAATCATCCCTCACACATAAGCACAGACAGGCTGTTTGTCATGATTTTCAGTATGTGTGGAGTTTCCAGCCGAGATGCACAGAACCTGACCTGAGAGGACAAGTTGGCAAAGCCAAGCCCTTGGGAAGTAGGAACTGCCAAAATGTGGCTCACCCATATTTTGCCTGACCAGGTGGATACTCCACCAATTCCTAGCCCAGGCTGTGGATGACTGAGCAGCCTTTGAGTCTAGTTGTAGAGGAGGAGTTTTGACAGGTGAACCAGATTTACAATATGGGCATGTTTTCTCAGAGGATAGCAGGGCACTGAGGCTTTTGCAGCACTGGGATGTCAAATGGTCAGTTCCAGTGGGTGGAGACAAATGTTATCCCAAAAAGCTGGTCTTTACACAGTTGTGTGTATACACATAACTGGAAAAATACTATCTTTTATCATAATCCTGTGCTTTGAAATAGCTGAGCACTTTGGACTGCCCTTGTTAGAAAATACCCCAAGACAGACTGTCAGGATGGAACATTTCAGCCAGGAACTCCCACTCCCCCAGTTACAGCAGAGGAATCAGGCAGCCCCATGGTGGCCACTGCCAACCCCCTCTGCTGCACAGAGGCCCTCCCTGTGCTCTGCAGGTTCACAGCAAGCTGGATCCATCTCCTGTGAGCTTTCCCAGGAACTTACATCTCCCAGAGGTGGGACACCAGAGCCTGTTCCAAGTGCAGCTGAGCCCAAGCCCAAGCTGGAGCCCCAGCCCCAGGAGCTGGAGCCGGAGCCCCAGCCCCAGGAGGAGCTGGAGCCGGAGCCCCAGCCCCAGGAGGAGCCTGGGCCCGAGCCCGAGTCCTGGCCTGAGGAGGAGCCTGGGCCTGAGCCCGAGTCCTGGCTCGAGGAGGAGCCAGAGCCCCAGCCCCAAGAGGAGCCCGGGCCCAAGCCCGAGTCCCGGCCTGAGGAGGAGCCTGAGCCTGAGCTCGAGCACGAGGAGGAGCCTGTGGCCTTTGGTGACCTTGGCTATGATTTCAGTCTTCTGGGGAAGAAGGCAGGTACCTGCGGCCGACAGCGACGGGAGCCCTTTGCATGTGTCAGCCGAGCGGTCAGAGCCTGGCAGTACCCATTTTCACAGGGCAGCTGTGCCAGACTGCTCTCATTTGTTCCATCCTTCCAATCTTAGGTGGGGAAGGGTAAATTGGTGCAGAAGTACTACAAAAATGGAAAGAAATTCCTTACCATGCTCCCAGACGGAACCTCACAGTTATTGTATCCTTTACAGAGTTCACTTGCCGTTAGTCCAGGGCCGTTACTAATTTTAAATGTGTCCCAGTCCACTTTATTACAACCTGGCTCATCACTCCCACTCGCTGTCTGAGGAGCAGCAGCAGTGAAACCTGACACAGCTCCTGGGCTGAGGTTTCAAAGAACAGCCAGCAGCTCCAATGAGCACTAGCTTCCAAGACCCAGCCCTAGGAAGCTGAACACCTTTAACACAGTGCTCTGAGTAATATATGTTTTTACATACAGAGTAGTACCCGGAAGTATATAGTGTGTAGTAAGAGACCAGTCAAGCAAAGCAGGGGGTTACAAACACCTTACCTGGTGGCAGCTATCCATCTGGAAACCTGGCCATCATCATTACACGACAGAGAGACCAGCTGATTTGCATAGTACAGGAGGACGAGCAGAGGACAGCCAAAATCCGAGCACTGTTTCAGTCTGATGGCAGGAGCACATGCTATTACCCAAACGGAGATGAGTGGTGCGTTCAGCAGCTTTGCTGTCTCCTCTGTGCATTGACATTTCAAAGGCCATAAAGGGTATTTTTAATAGCATCCAAAAATAGACAAATCCAGCAGCTCATAGGCCCTGCTTTGGGTGCCTTCAGAGCAAGGCAACCCAGCTGTGCCTTGAGAGATGGGGGACAGACCCTGCCCCTGCTGTGCCCCTGTCCCATCCCTCAGGGGAATGAGACCTTCTGCCACAGGAGCTTACAGAGTTCAGAGCTTCCATTTCCCTTTCTTTAGGATAAATATGAGTATCCAGGGTGGGCAGTATTTGGACCAAGCAGGCAACAGGATAAGAAGGTGGACGTGGCCAAACTTGTTGCCAGGACGTCACGTCCCACTGAGCCCCATTTTCATCTCCCTGAACCGCCACGTGGGAGTCAGGATCCTGGCCCAGGACAAGATCTTCATCTCCTTCCTTGCCATGGGGCGACAAGCAAAATTCAACATGGGAACCAAAGTGCAGGTATTGTTCCTGTGCCAAGCCACTCCCCACAGCAGGAGCAGGGCAGCCAGGGAAGCTCTCATTTGCACTTAGCCTGTGGTGGATGCTCCCTATGTTGTCCCATGCTCCTTCCCCAAAAAGCAAGCTGTGGAGGTGTGCATATTACTGCCACTCCTATGGAGATGGGGCACTTGCCAGCCCCAGCTCTCTTCAAGGGGCCACAGTGTGGGACTCCACTCCCAGGCAGGTCCCTGGCTATATCACCAAGGGTCACCCTGGCTCTGTCACAGGGAGAAGAGCTATGGGCAGGGTGCATGGCAGCTACTTTCCTCCAGCGGCTCCTGTCACAGGGGCAGGTTTGTCTGCTGGAAGCCCTGGCCCCAGCTCGGGTGGCTCTGCTGACACGTGTCCTTGGTTCTGCAGGTCGGCACCGCCAGCCAGCCGCTTCCACCAGCCCAGCTGGGTGAGGACGAGCTCCTGCTGCTTGCCTTCCGGGTGAGGATCCTGCAGCTCTTCGACAGGATGCGGGGATGCCTCAACTTCCCTTCCAGTGTGCAGTGGAACAAAATGCAGCCTCCTATGTACCTCATGACCCAGGCTGTAAAGATCTTGGAGCTCTGCATGGCTGCTGACATAAGTGATGAGCTGCGCAGCTCCATCAAGGCGATAATAAATGCACAGGAGCTTTGACCGGTGTGTGTGGTGTAAGGCTAAATGAGCCAGAGACAGTCCCTGATGCTGTGGCACCTGCATGTGCTCAGCAAGGTTTCTCCTCTGGCCCTGCCATGCCCTGGTGCAGAGCAAAGGGCAGTCCAGGGTTGATCTGCACAGCCCCAAATGGGTCTTGCTCAGGGCAGGCAGTAGCAGCTTTCGCTGGGGACACCCTGGTGATGGAGGCATGAGAGGGCTTTGCTCAGGCAGCTCCTGAGCAGCCTCTCTTCTGTCTCCAGCCCCAGCTGAGTAGACACTTCAGCTCTTGGCTAAGGCACAAGGTAAAAACATAGCACAGCCAAGCCAGGGCTTGGGATAGGTACACAGGCAGGTGTTTGCTCCAGTCACCCACACAGGTACTGCTCTGCCACTCCTGACAAGAAGGTGGGACCAGCAGGAATGCCCTAAGTATTCCCAGTGCCCATGCCCACGGCAGCTCAGCCAGCTGCAGGTACAAAACAAGGTGGTTCCCTGTCCAGAGTGACAAATGCCCTCAGAGTGCCCAAAGCAATCACCTATGCTTGGTTTCAGGGAGTACCAGCTGCAGCCAGGGATGGGCTCTGGTTCAAGCACTGCAAACACAGAGCTGTCAATGGGCATTTAGAGACCTGTGGTGCTGCACTTGGCAGTGACGAACCTCCCAGCCTCTTAGAGCTAACTTGGGCTTCACCTGGCCAGCTTCCCCCAGGGAGGCCACAAGTGACAAACAAGGTACTTCACACAGGAAATGGGAACTCTTTATTTCAATTAATGTTCTTGGGTTCTATTTAGGACAGCAGGAAGGCCCAGCTCATCTCTCAAATGGCCAAGGAAGAACTGCTAGAGCTGGCCCACATGATTAAAGAGTAGCTGATCTTAATTTTCACTGAAGTCACCAAATGATGTAACTATTCTGCATATAATTTTGCTTATATAATTCAGTATATAATGCACTGTTCGACTCTTCCATAGATTTTGAAAAATATACAAACCTGTTTTAACCACATTAAAGAGATTTGATAGACAGCTATCACTTACTCAACAGCTTAGGACAATATCAGACACTCCTATAACTTCATTTAAACTACAAAAAGAACATAAATTCATATAAAATACAACAGATTAAACAAACTTCTTTTTTTCCAAGGAAAAATTAGGTATCAACTCAATCTGCCATTGTGTGAAACATGAATATAAAATAAGTTACCATTAGTAATGCCTGCATTGCTGATCTATGAACTGGTCGAATGAAGTCTTAAAAAAACTATACAGTATTATTGCACTCGTGGCTGTGCAGTGTGGACCAGCCAGCACTGAAACAGGGCTCATTGAGTGTTTGTCCAGGAGGCACAACGTGGCTGCAAGAGAGGCATCCAGCCTGCACCAACAGCGGCTGTCTTCAGTGCAGGCCTTCATGGGTCTGCACCACGTGGCCCAGGAACCACCACCCAACGCCTGTGAAGAGACACCTGGGTTACAGTTGGCAACAGCCCTGTGCCACAGCAACACACCTGCACTGAGCCAGGGCCACACCTGCACTGAGCCAGGGCCACACCTGCACTGAGCCTGCTGCACACCTGCACTGAGCCTGCTGCACACCTGCACTGAGCCTGCTGCACACCTGCATCAAGCAAGCCCCAAGATGCAGAATCATAACCTATGCATTTTGAACGTCACAGGTGACACAGAGATGTGGAAGTGGTTTGTCATAAAATACCTACAGGATGTGAACCCTGTGCTACCAAAAGCTGTGGAGCTTTTGCAGAGGGGCAGGGCAGTATAGCAACTGGAGCATGACGGTGTTCTGCTCTCCTGGGTTAAGCACAGAACAGGACAGCACCCTGTTCCCCAAGGTTGTGGAATTCAACTGGGTTAAAAGCCAGGGAGACCCTAATCCCCTGTGCAGAGGCTGTTCTAAGGCACGTAAGGCAGCGTGTTTCTGATCTCTGCATCACACACTTCAATGACATTAGACCTTCTGCCTACAGTAATACGTGTTCTCCTGCCTCATGGAATGCCAGCTTCCTGCTCTGAGACAAGCAGAATGAGCCACATCCCAAAACCTCCCCCCCAAACAGCCTCTGTGACCCCACAAGTGACAGTTTAACATCACAGGAGCTAATTCTCCAGAAAAACATTTAACTGAACAAACACACAATCCAGTCTCCAGTGTGCCCCTTTCACCTGGGCAAACACACTGGTGACTGGAGGAGACTTACGAGAAGTTTCAGTGCTGATCGATGGGGCTATGATCGATGATGGGGCATTGACTCCATGTGCACATTGAGCTTCATCTCGTTATCAAGGATCTGTACAAGCTGCTGCATGGAAGGGAGGTGGCCAGACTCCAGCTTAGACCACACTGGGACATCTAGCACAGAACATACGTGGGAGAAAAGCACCATTACACTGGGAGCATCAAAAAACAGGCAGAGCTGGTGTAAACATGGAATTGAGAAGCTCTAGGAACCTGTGTGAGTTGGTACTGATCTGTGCTGAGGAAAACATCTGAATCAATAATCCTTCCAATCTCTTGCTATGCTGAACCCCAGCCCAACTAAGAATCACAGAATCCCTAGGTTGGAAGAGACCTCCAAGATCATCAAGTCCAACCCAGCCCTAACTCCTCAACTAAACCATGGCACTGAGTGCCACATCCAGTCTTTTTTCAAACACATCCAGGGATGGTGACTCCATCACTTCCCCAGGCAAACCATTCCAATACTTTATCATCCTTTCTGTAAAAAACTTTTTCCTAATACTCAACTTTTATTTCCCTTGGCACAGCTTAAGACTGTGTCCTCTGGTTCTGTCAGTTGCTGCCTGGAGAAAGAGACAGACCCCCCTGACCACATCCACCTTTCAGGGAGTTGTAGAGAGTGGTAAAGTCACCTCTGAGTCTCCTTTTCCCCAGGTTAAAAGAAAGGAGGGCAGAGTGTCTAATGCTTCCACTTAGAAGTGTATCATATTGATGGAGAGGTGCAAAATATCCTGACATTCCTGTTAACCTGGAAAATCAGTACTGTTGTCCACCAGTACTGATAATCCGGTAACCGTAATGGATTCTTTAGGATTCCAAGGCTAAAGCATGCTGCAGAACAGACAGGGAAAGCATCTAATTGGAGAGTACACGCCCCTAGCTGACGGCTTTCTACTTAATGCACATCACACATAAAGCAAGAATATAACACAGTTATTCCAAGGGATCAAATATCCCTCAGAGTAAGTTTTTACAGAGCTATTCTAGAGTATCTGACATCTGTGTAAATTGCTTTATAAGACTTTTATGATTTTTATATTTTATTGTGATAGATGAAATCTGAAGATCCAAATGGATGGCAATTTCTACATACTACATTTGGGATATAACTTTCCTGACACCATCCCTCATTCTCCTCACCCCACAGCTCTCACATGTGTATATGTGACACCCCTCAAACGAAGTCTCAGCTCACCATTCAAAGTGATTTCAAAAGCCCCAGTGGACATACACTGGTTCTCAATCATGTTGCTCAGGAAGAAGACCATCATGCAGGCGTACACCTGGAAGGGAACGAAGATCCACACAGACCTCAGCCACACCTACTATTATTCACTGGTGCCTCTGAACTCCCTCTGTGATTGTTCAAGGAATGTTCCCATCTACAGACACTTCCCCTTCCTCCTCTTGAACAGACTGCACCTTGCCTTCCTCAGAAAAGCACCAAACCAGCTCCAAACCCACCCAACTGACAGCCCTCCGCACACCTCTGGAGCCAGCACATCCAGGTTTGCAGGGGGGCTGGCAGTGTGACATGGGAACCACTCCCAGACACGGCCTGTCACTGTCACAGCAATCTCCAGATCACAGAGCAAAGGGCCCAGCCACAAACAGCAGAGCAAGGCAAGTCACATGTGTATAGGAACCACCAACCCTCCTGCATGCCTCCAAGCTCTTCAGCTGGAATTTTCTCTGTGCATGGGTGACTAAGGAGGAAAGGACAGCATCTTCAGCAGTGTAGCTCCTCCCTCACCACCAGCACATCTCTAATTTCCTTTTCCTGTTCACAGGCACACTCACACAGGTCACTGTAACATCACAGAACCTGGCACAGGGACAGCAGCTGTGCACTGCAGCCAGCCCAGCCAGGCATGGAGTTGGCCCATTTAATTCAGCTGGAAATATTACAGCTTCTGGGCATGCAAACTGGCCAGTGAAAAACCCAGGGAACTGGGCAGCTCAGCAGGAAGGTCTGCAAATTACTTTAGTTTAGTGGAATAAATATGGAATAAGGTTACTCTAAATCAGAGTACAACACCCTGAATCTGCTGGCATCCTGAGTACTGACTCATGGGGTTATTCTCCCACAATGTCATGCCAGTCAACTCTCCAAAAACACCCACAGCATTTCAATTTCATTTTTCTAACACCCTTCTAATTGCTGCCTAATCTATCAGGAGTCTGATGGAAACATCAACTGCAAAACAGTTGATTTTTCCACAGAGACGGGAAGCTGTAATTTTAACATCAATAACACAGGCTTGAAATGCTACTCTTGAGCCCTAAAAAATAAAAAAAACCCTCTTTTATCATCTTTGATAGCACATTAACCTCATCTGCCCCTCTGCAGTAGCAGCAGCTTGGAGAGAGCTCACAGAAGCAATCCTGGGTTTGTCAGAAGCGTAAAGTACAACTGGTAAGAATTATTCTACTGTAATGCTGTAGCATATGAAAGGTAAATCAGTCAGAACTGAGGGACTCACAGAGCACCCTCATGAAGTAACTCTGAAGCTGCTTTTTCAGACTAAAAGAAGTATTTCTTTACCTTGTTTTCCTGGCCCCACTGCCAGATGCTTGGAGCTTGCATGCCAAAGAAAGCAAACGGGTCCTTGCCAACAATGATTAAGCCAATTAATACTAGTTTGAAGACAGACAGGAAGGATGCTATGTGCCTGTTGGAGACAACACACACCAGTGACTGAAAGGTTTAGTTCCTACTTCACCATACACAATTTACCTCACTAGAATTTTGACAGTAAACAAATGTTTCAGGGGAAGTACAAAACTTTCCAAGAATGTTTATCTCACTGTAAAAAAATCCCAAACCAAATCAAACCAATAAAACAAAAATACAACACACATTAACAATACCCCAGTAAGACCCCACTTTTGCACAGCACCCCAGAGAAGCACTTTCCCGTAAACCACAGATTCTTTTGCCCCTCAGCAGACCTCAGATAGGACTTTGCTTTTAACTTACATATGCCTGAACTAGGCAACAGATTCAGTTTCTAAAGAAGCTGTTTCACATCACAGACATGTTTAACTGACGGGCACCACGTGTCATGGAGCATTTCCCAGTGATGCAGAACTCCCCACAGCCAGCCCACACTGAGGCACTGCACCCTGCAGCCTCCCACCACTGCAACCCTGCCAGAAATTGGGCCAACGAGTGTTCCAGGAGCCACCCAGTAACTATGGCATCACTCTCCAGCGTGGGCACACTGCTTTAAGTAACAGGAATAACACTGTTTTGTCTTTTTCGAAATTCCTTTGGCCTTTCCTCCCACAGCTGCACCAAAGGCCACTCTGGCAGCCTCCCCACTGAGGTGAGCTCTCCCTGATTCAGATGTTAAATGTGAACTTTCCCTTCCTCTGTGTCCTTAACCCATTACAGGGATTTGTCACTAAGTGCATAAGCCTGAGCAACAAATTGAATTTATGTACAGATACAGCATGAAGAAAAGCTGGGAAAAATCACTGCTTTAAAAAAAAGTTACATAATTAATTTTAGCTTGGATATGACAGGCCTCATCATACAGCTATCCAGACAGTGATACTTGTACGGAAAACTAAGGCAGCTACCTGGAAGGCAGAAAATCACCACACTTGTATGTAATGGCAATAGAAAATCCCCTTAAGTTTACATTTTCTGTATTATTTCAGTGTAAAGGCACGTGTTTATCACTGGAAAGCAGACAGACAGACAGTACGCAGCACAAGGTGGCACACTCACCTATATATAGGTTGAGGAAGGTAGTTCTCCCCTTCGATTCGGATGTCTGGGTACCGCTGGCTGATGACCCGCATGTACTCCTCAAACACCCGCCTGTAGCCTCAGGAGACACTGAACACAGACAGCACTGTCACCACAGATCGAGGGCTGCATGGTACAACCACTGCTCAGCAGTACTCACCCTCTTCAATTAAAATAGAACTAACACTTATGGCACAGAAAAAACCTGAGCTGCAGTGAAATTACACATCACAAATCCCAACAGGTAAGCCCTGGGCAGGACACTGGTTTGCTCCACATCCCAGCACAAACAGAGCTCTGGAAACACCCACTGGGCATCAAATCACCTGCCTTCCCTGTAAAAATCTGTTAAATTAGGATTAATTTAGGAAGTAGATGTAAGCAATCCCTTGCTCTGTGCCCAAAAACAAAAACAAAAAAAAAATCTTCACACAGAGCCGTCTGAATTCCTCTCTAGGATTGCCCAGACAGGCAGTGTCACTCCCCATGTAGGCACGACACGTGAACTGCAGGAGTTAAATGTTCCCGAGCTGTCCCCTGACTCGCCTTTCAGCAGCCGCCTCTATAAAACTGCGGAAAGCCGCCCAAGACCCAACTGCACTTTCCTCTGAGCGCTTCTGCGGTGCCCCATGGACCCACAGGGCCCGGCCCGGGCTCTGCTCGGCCGCCACCCGGCCTGCCCGCCCTGAGGGCCGGGAACCGTGCTGACGGGAGCTCCGGGCCTGCTCCCCGCTAACACAGCCCGTGTGCCGGGGCTGCCTCAATCCTGCTCGCAGCTGCTGGCACCATCGGCAACACCCCCAGGAAGGTGCAAAGGTGCCCGAGCGCACCGACTGCAATACGGGCACTGCACCAAAACAAACACAAAATTACAGCCATTGCTGAAACATCGATTCCAACCAAACGTTAGTCCCGCATCACCACAACGCCATCCGTGGCATTAAAGGGCCCGAAAAAGCGCGGTTTTACGGCGGGTGGCCGTAGAGTGAGACCCGCTGACAGAGCCGCCGCCCGCGGCCCGGTGCCGCCTCCCACGCTCCGGCAGCGCCGGGCGCCCCGATAGGTCACCCGGGGCGGGATGGCCCCCAGCCCTGGCGGCCGCCCCTTCACGGACGACAAGAGCCAGCGAGGCCGCCGCCGCGCTGAGGGAAAGGAAGGGAAGAAAACGAACGAGGGAGGGAGAGGCGAAGGCCCTGCGGACGCCGCCATTTTGGCCGCCGCCATCTTGGCG